TTTTGAGACAGAGTCTCCCTCTGTTGCCTGGGCTAGAGTGCAGTGGCATTATCATAGCTCACAGCAACCTCAAACTCCTGGGATCAAGCAATTCTCCTGCCTTAGCCTCCTGATTAGCTGGGACTACAGGCACATACCACCACAGCCAGCTAATTTTTTCTATTTTTAATAAAGACGCGGTCTCGCTCTTGCTCAGGCTGGTCTTCAACTCCTAAACTCAAGTGATCCTCCCACCTCGGCCTCCTTAGAGTGCTAGGATTACAGGAGTGAGGTACCTCGCCCAACCTAAAATATGTCTTAATTATTTTATTTGTGTGTAAAAGCCATGTTACCCAAATACCCAGTTTCATAAATACGGAAGTACGCAGCACACATGTAACCAATTAAAATATTTTAATTTCAAAAATAGTTTAAGCAAAATGCATCTTTTTCCGTCAAAAAATTATGGTCAACAATGCTTTTATATAATAACCTAATCAAAGGAAAAACTTATTCTCTGCTTATTATAGATAAATAATTTATCTAAGACCATGAAGTCACCAGCCTGAGACTTTTTTTTTTTAATCTTAGGCCTTAGTTAATGCCTCCTGGGAAAGTACAGTGAAGACATATTAAGATTGAAATGCATATCTATATAGTATATAGCACATTTCATATGACAGAGAATTATTTGGAGGTAATGGTAGCTTATAAAGCAAGGTTGGAAAGGATTAGAGAATGTTGAGGTGGGGCAAGATAAATGTTTTTGAAAATCTTTCCTACCTTCTGTTCTGAGGAAATAAAGTCTTTAAAACCTAAATTGTAATTAAATATATTTACTTGTTCTAGGACCTGCTCCTCCAATTTAAAGTCAGTTTGGCCAATGAACACAAGCAGATTTGCAGATCACCATGACCTTTTAACAGAAACCAAAAGGCCAATAGATACAGCCATCTCTCAGCAAGCTTTTTATAGCGGTGAATCTGTGTCAGCAGTGGAAAAGCAATACCTGCATAATAGTAATCTCACACCACAACAAAAAGTAGATGAATTTTATCATGGATTTACTGGTTTAGACCTTGAAGAACAATGGATGTACCCTTCACGAAGTGATCATTCTAACTGTTACAATATTCAGACAAATGATACAGCTAAGACAACATTCCAAGAATATCCATTTATCAAAAACTGTTTTACACCACAAACTGGTCTGTCTGACATCATAAAAGAATCAGGAGTTGATACTTACTCTTATGGAAGAGAGAAAGTATGTGCTAAAGGTCTTGAAGCACCATTACAGCAAAAAAGAGCAGAGATATTTCTTTCTCAATTAAATAGATACAATGAAAATGCAGATTATTGTAGATACCCAGAATATGCTCATCCTAATAAGGCTAAGCTTAATAAATGTTCAAATTTTAGTGTCCAAGATAGTAAAAAAGTAGCCAATGGCACACCTGAAACACCAACTGTAGAAGCAGACACCTACACAAAGTTATTTCAGGTTAAACCAGCAAATCAGAAAAAAATGGAGGAGACAATCCCAGACCAGCAGAACTTCACCTTTCCAAAAACTACACCACATCTGACAGAAAAACAGTTTGCAAAGGAAGCAGCATTCACTGCTAATTTTGGCCTAAAATCAGAATATGGACTAAAACCTCACACAGCTTGTCCAGCCAATAATGATTTTGCTAATGTCACAGAAAAGCAACAGTTTGCTAAACCTGATCCCCCAAATTCTGAGTATTTTAAATCAGTGAATTTATTAACAAACTCAGCAGCATCTTCAGGAGGTATCAGTTTAAACAGACCAACTTGGATGAATGTTCA